TAAACATTAATTAAATTACAATTTAGGAATTATTACAATAATATATACAACAATCATTTTATATATTTTTTTGTTACAATACTTGTCTAATTATTATTTTTATTTAAACTGTAATATAACTAAACAAAAATAAATAACATAAGCTAATAATAAAATAAAATAAAATTCATAAACATATAGAGTATTAAATTATGCTTCTCATACAACATTAAACAAATTCAAAGAAAACACAAAAGTATCATACAACATTAAACAAATTCAAAGAAAACATAGAAGTATGTATTTAAATTTCTTAATTAGAGTGCATAAATTAAAAGCAAAAAATAAACTAAACAGTGCTAGGTGAATCTAAGTCATGGCCTTCAGGAATATGACTCCCTTCAGAGGAAGGCTTTCCATTTCTGGGTGATTCCAAGTCAGGTGCCTGGAACAAAACAAAAAATTAATAAAAATAAGTAAAAATCAAAAGCATACTAGTGTCAACATTTATCAAGTATATTCAATTTTTCCACCTCTCACTGTGAGTACAAAATAAGCAGCAACATACACTACAATTCATCAAGAGTAAACAAAAAATAATGATCAAAATATAATTTTTCGTTGCATTTCTTCAATACTAACTTCAAAGAAATTACTTTAACTGACAATTCATCATACCTGGGAAGCTTCACGTATTAAAAATTCTTGTATAGCTTCCCTAAATTCTTCATCAACAAGGTAATGACAGCTAAAAGTTGTCACAGGAAGATATCCACGTTAAATCTTGTGTTCACCCTGAGCTCCCGCCTCTACTGTTTTAAGATTCAGTTCTATAGCTGCTTCAATTGCCTGTCATGTCAAAACAAAGACTAAATATATTTTTTGTTTCCCTGATATACTACATCTGAGTTATATGCACACATAATGACAGAAAGATCGAGTATAATTATAGTTTTTCTTCTCTTGATAAAAGAAAAAACTATATTGTAGTCCAAAAATGAAAAGTAAAAGATATCCTCCTAAATCAAATCAAAAAAGAAAAATAAAGCATTTTCATGTTCCTGAAACTTCCATAAACACTGAAGCCAATATAACAAAATGAAAGTGAAAAAGGCGTGGGTGGGGGGAGGGAATTGATAAACAAAAAATGGCGAAGGGTGGAAAAGTTAGAACTCATAAACAACTTGAAAGAAGAGGGTAAAAGCTCCTTTCAACCAAACAATAGGTGGAGGAGTGGCTAAACTAGAGGTTCAAGAGAAAAAAAAAATTATAAGCTGACAATCACTAGGAATCAAAAAGGGAAGTCTATTCCTTAAAAAGATGCAATGGAGGAACGTCTGATTGAAAACTACAACATTATTCCCCAACCATAAAATTAAAACCTAGCAAAAATAGAAATAATCATCTTATAATAATTGAAGGGGAAAAATGAGAAGTACCTGGTAATAACATGCTTCAAAATGCAGACTTCTTATAATGCCTTAACTTTCTCAAATAACTGTATTGAATGAGAGAAATCTTAAAAATAGGAAAGTCAACATATTGAGCTAAAACTAAACAGGGGCAATCTCATCTCATCAAGGAAATCATGTGATTTTTCCCAAATTTTTATAAACACCATTGATGTGTCAAAATTAGTTCCCATTTCATCTCAAAACAGGATGTTTTCAAAAATAGGTCCAGATTCATACTCATCTTTATAAGTTCATAAGTAAGTCTCAACTCATGCAAAATAGGTGCTTCCAAAACCATTAGAACCATCACAAAGTCTACTTTCAACAAAAGTGCCAAAGAAATATAATTGTTGTTATAGCAGTACAGTTTGCATAAAAAACATAGAGCATGTCTAACTCGCAGGGGACAATACCAAACTCATCAAAAATCACACAAGCATCCAAATCATATGTGACCAATTGTGTTAGGATCTTCTTTTTGATGTAAAAAAAAAAAAATCGAACCTACCAAGTAAAACCCCACACAAAAAAATCGAACCTCCCCACATACTTCTTTTCTTTTATACTAAATTTCTCCTTTTATATTAAAGAACTTGCCTGATTTCTTTTTTTGGCCAACAGCGGAATTAAACCTTAATTAATGAATGGGATTCAGACTAGTTTTAAAAAATGGGTATATGGTTCTTGCACGTTCAGGATAATTTTGGTGGTTAACACTATTGATAGTACATGGTCATAAAAGCTTTGATACTATCTCGTGAATTAACTACTACTAACACTAACATTATATAGTTTAAGAAAATGGATTATAAAAGAAAACAATTCAAATTGATGGTACATATTTTTTGTCTGAGAAAGCTTTAATGGGCAGAGAAAGCTTTTAAATGATACCTTCACAGTGGAAAGAGTAACAAAAATTATATTTTTAGTTTATTACTATCCATAAGCACAGAATATTTTAAAAGATATGTGGAAGATACATGGAATATATATTCATATAAACATGCTACCTAAATTCTAATATCTAAATGCTAGCTACCTAAATCATTAGAACATCACATTTAGTACATGAATCAAAATATATTCATATAAACATGCCCGGTCATCGGCGCTCAACGAACCCTGAGGAAAGAACCTCTCCGTAGTCACCCCCGCGCTCCATAATGAATCCATACCAGCAAACGCGCTCACGTGATCCAGCCGCACCGTACATATCCCCTTCCCAAAGCGATGGGACAGATATTGGGTCCGGGAAGGCATCTGCGATGAGCTCGCCTGCAAACACCAGTCCCGCATCACAAATAGATAAGGAGACATGCGAGAAAGCAACAAAAACAAAAACAAAACAAAAAACCAGACTCACCCCAGCAGCCTGGGTGGCCAGCTCGGAAGCCTGCACCTCAGGATCAGCGGCATTTCCCGCCTGCACCTCAGGCTCGGCAGCTTTTCCCGCGGCCGTCACCTTCAGATCCCCCAAGCCGTGAAACCAGGACGACTTGGGACACCAATAGAATGGAAACCTCGGCAAACCGCCGAAGTAGAACACCTCGTCTTCCAAAGGGTCAACACCCACAAGGGCGACCCGGAAAAACTCCTGCTTGAAATTTTTGTACGATTGGGAGTAGGGAGTAAACAAGCCCCCATCCCTACTCCCGCTCAGGGACAAAATGCCATAAGGCGGAACGCCCATCTTCAACTGATAAAAATGAAGAAAGACGCGAAGAGACACCTCTATACCTAGAACTGTACACAGGACCTGAAAAGCCCTCAAAAAACCCCAACTATTGGGATGCAACTGGCAAGGAGCCGCGTTGATGAAATTCAAAAAATCGCACTCAAACTGGGTAAAAGGAAGACAGACACCCAAATCCCTAAAAAAGCATTGATATACATAGAAATGAGGGGGATCAGTAGACCTCCCCATATACACGCCCTCATCAGCCTGACAAAGGGAGGTTAAGCCAACCTTACCATGGTTCTTAAGTGAACCATGGTCAAGGTTAGCTTCTCCTAGAAGCTAGCTAAAACCATGGGAGTTAAGTTCACCTTACCATGGTTCCTAGTGAACCATGGTTAAGGTTAGCTTCTCCTACAAGCTACCTTATCCTATATATTTGTTTTCTATACTCTTGTAATCACTTTTGAGCAAATTGAGAAATAATAATCAGATTTCTCTCATCAAGAGTCTTCCTCAAAACTGTGGAGAACTTTCCTTCCTAAGTTCTCTCCAAAGTTCCTCAAACCTTAGCCTAGGTTCCTTAAGCTTCTTCATCCAAAAGGAAGTAACCGAACCTCCTTCTAAGGCTTCACCTCCATTGAAGATTTCTTCAAGGAGAATTCAAGTTTCAATCCAAGGTCTACCTCAAGAGATTCGGTCCTAAGCATGGAACAAAGTGGAGGAACATCAATCTCCTCACCTAGCTCCATCAGATAATTAGGATATTTAAGAAATATTATTAAACGGGTACTTGCGGGTATCGATATCATCAAACATGCCCCCGCCCTGTTTATAAACGGGTAAAAAATTATTCGTCCCTATTATTCGCAGGTATCTAATTAGCTTATCCATTTATTATCCGTAGCGGATTTTACCCGTAGATATCCATGAGTGTGAGTATTTTTGCCATCCCTAGACAACACTCTCTTCAGATCCTTTTAAAAAAAATTATTTTCTTTAACTTGTGTAAAAAAATTATTAGGTTAAATTATCTTTTGATTATTTGTTTTATTTTAATCTTTTTGATAAAATGTTTATTTTTTGTAATTTTTTTTGTCTTTTATATGTAAATCAATTTTGTCTATTTAAAATAATGACATTTTCAACTTTTTGCATTATGATTTTTGTTAAGTCAGATGAAGCAATTCCCAGCAAGGTTTTGAATGAGACAAATATAATACATGTTGTTATTTCTAACAAGTGTGTTAGTAATTTAGAAAAACATAAGTACAGGCAAGTTGAAGAATAAAGTATGTGTGTGTGTCACTTCTTACACCAGAACCAAGATAAAAGGTAAAAGCTTCAAGCATCAGATGGAAAGATAAAATGAAGCCAAGCCTAGCACAAGAAGAAAATTGATCAAACATCAAGACTAAGCATGACCCAAGTTAGACGAAAGTACAGACATCAGATGAAGCCTAATGGTCTAGTACAAAAAGGAGAATGATCAAGCTTCAGATGATACATTTCAAGTCAGATGAAAGGCCAACACAAGTATCAAACAAGGGCAAATCAAGAACAAGACAAAAAGTGGGTTGACCACCGGATGAAGTCCGAACAAAAGTATCAGACGATGGGTAATACAAGACGAAGAAATGTTCTAGACGGAACTAAAGTTTTCCATCTTCACAACTGACTAAACGAAAAGAAAAAGTCAAACTAGATGAAAAGAAAGAGTAAAAAAAACGAAAGGAAAAGTCAAAGTCTACCTCTCAAACGAAGACTTAAATTCCAGACGCAGACAAAGAATATTGAAAAGTGTCTGAGGTCCACTATTCACAACGAGGAATATCATATATCGTCTACACCCATGAGAAGAGCACACGAAGTCATCAATACTGAGAAAAGAAAGAAGAAAAATAGACGAGTGCGAATCCATAAGTCAAGGTAAAGCATACCACGAAAATCAGACAAAACAAGTCAAATGATAGATAGAGTAAACAAAGCTAAATGATAGATGAAATATGAAATGTGCACCAGACAAAGATAAATCAAATATCAGACGAAGATGAGTCAAGGCAAACCTCAGCAAAAGGATCACACGAAGAGTAAACAAAGTTGAATGACAGATGGAATAAGAAATGTGCGCCAGACGATGATAAGTTAAAATATCAGACGAAGGTGTGTCAAGCACAACCTAGAGCGCAGCATAAGAACTTAGACGAAGGCTAGTCAAAGAACAGAAGAAAGTCAACTACATGTCAGATAAAGGACAACACAGACTAAAAAGTATTTTAGACGAAAACAAAGTTTGTCCATCTACAATGTTGACCAGACCAAAGAAAGTCAAAGCATTAATGACTAATGCTCAGAAGAAGATAAAAACTTGAGATGCACATGGACTATCAAACGGAGATGAAGATTGCCATACAAGTATTTGAAGAATCAAGTCTCAAGGGACAACTCAGGCATCGTCTATGATCATACGAAAGCTCTCAACATGATTGCGTGATTAAATGAAGAGAAGAAGAAGAAGAAAAACACGCAAAAGTAAAAGTATGCATGTATCAGAAAAAGTACATTACTTTTTCAGATAAGGACAACGCTCTACAACTACGATGACCGGAAAAGGACAAAAAGTTCTTAGGTCTCTGCTAAAGTTAGACACAGCAGCTAACAAACGTAGAAGACTTCACACAATGTCTATAAACAGGAAGCAACATTTAATACAAGATCTAATGCATTAAATAAGAAGATCGAACTAGTCATGAACGACTACATCCTGCTTCAACGGACACTTGTAACGGGCAAATTTTATAAGACTATATATATGTCACAACTTCAAACCTGAAAAGGTTGGCTTTGGCATTGGCAAAGAGTGATATCAAGCCCACAAAGTAATGAAACCAGAGATAGAGCTTATAGAGTCAAACGTACCATAGTGTATTTATCTCTGTAGACTAAGGAGTTCTAAGTGTAACTTAGGAACATATCCCTTAGTGAGTGTAGAATTATTTGTATCCTCTCTGTGAGAGTAAACCAAACACTCAAACCAAATCATCTATCATACATTTGTAAAGCCTGAAGAGGCTACCGAAAGAATATTTGTGAAAGCTTGGAGAGGCTTATCAAAGAATACTCACTACGAGCCAAAAGTGGCTGAATAAAGAATACTAGCGCTAATAAGTGAAGTTAGCGGGCAAGGAGTGGTCAACAATCCTCATTGAGAGCCTAAAGAGGCTGAACAAAGAATACTAGTACTAATAGCCAACCAGAAGTGGTTGAGAATACTCGGGATCAAGAGTGGTCAAGAATACTCACTGAGAGCCTAAAGAGGCTGAATAAAGAATACTAGAGCTAATGAGTGAAGTTAGCCAACTAGGAGTGA